CGACCTATGCTGTACTGAAAAGTGTATGTCGGCCTCAGAAGAAGAATATCTTCACCCAGTCTTCCAACCGATGAATCTCTCTCTCTCTCTCTCTCTCTCTCTCTCTCTCTCTCTCTCTCTCTCTCTCTCTCTCTCTCTCTCTCTCTCTCTCTCTCTCTCCCCTGCCCCCCGCCCCTCTTCCCCCCTGTGTGTTCATATTGCAACTTCCGAACGGAGGCCTGACAAGGCATTGATTACATCGAGCTGTTCTTCTGTTTTCACCCAAAATGACAACAAGGTTACGAAGGTGGTCGAGGTTGACCAACCAAATGAGGAAGGCATTTCATCAGTGCTTCTGGTCCTATGCATAATAGAAGAGGAGAACTAACTGGTGCTTCTGCTTTGCAGGATTAATCGTGAGACAAGAAGAGGAACAAGAGGAAGCAGAGGAAGATGTAGCTGCATTTCCTTCATGGCGCTAACCGCTGCTCATCGTGGATGGGATGCCCTGCATGCAGACGTGGGAGAAGGAGATCATCACAGGTTTCGACGTCCACAGGTTTCGTCAGCAGTTTCTTTTTCCCGGTGTCCAAGGACCCCAATCTCTAGCTTAGCACGAGCAAGAAGAAGGGGGGGGGGTGTTAGGCTTAGCTACTGTACTCTTCACCATGTAGGGATTGCAGCGTTGGGCAGGGGGTCGGCGGTCCGATGGCCGCTCCCTCTGCTCAGGTTAGGTGAGAACAATGAGGGAGGCGGCTTCATGGGTTGTGATATTTCCGCTTTAGGAAAGGATCCCGTGTGCGCTGGTTGTGACGGATACGACAGTTGCCCCAATCATCTCTTTTCCGCTTCTTCTCCTCCTCCCGCTCCTCTTCCCCTTCTTCGCCCTCGTTCTCTTCTCCCTCCTCATCATTTTCATGGCTGGACCAGGAAGACGAGGAAGATGGGGGGAAGGAGTATGGCTGTTGTCCCCAGTGCAGTGCATGGCGATGGTGTTGGGCGTGTTGTTGTCGTCACATCGGACTCTGGTGGCGGGAAGTTGCAGGAAGAGACTAGGAATGTCCTCCGACATGCCGAGGGTGTGCTGGATGCTGACATGGCGTATCTGACAAGGACAGCAAGGTTGGTTCAGTGGTATCCCGGCCATATAGCCAAGGCCGAGAGGGATCTGAAGCAGCAACTGAAGCTCGTTGATGTCGTCATAGAGGTGCGCGATGCGCGGATTCCCCTCGCAACCACTCATCCTGACATCGATCAGTGGATTGGTGGACGATTGAAGATCATCGTACTTAATCGACAGGACATGGTGTCTTCTGAAGACAGGCGAATATGGTCTGCCTACTTCCGTCAGAATGGGGAGAAGGTGTTTTACACAGATGGTCAGCATGGCGTCGGGATTCAGCAACTGCAGAAAGCCGCTTCCGGGATAGGAAAGTCCATCAACTCGAAAAGGAAAATGAAAGGATTGCTGCCCCGTTCAGTCCGCGCTGCCGTTGTTGGGTTTCCTAATGTGGGCAAGTCGGCTCTCATTAATCGTCTCCTGAAAAAGCGGGCGTGTGAAAGCGCCCCGCGACCAGGAGTAACGCGAAGTGTTAGATGGATTCAGATCGGCGAGGAGCTGGACCTGATGGATGCCCCAGGTATCCTCCCTATGCGCATCGCCGATCAAGCGGCCGCTGTGCGTCTGGCCATCTGTAACGATATCGGGGAGGCTTCTTATGACGTGGCGGGAGTGGCCGCCATCATGATAGAGATGATTCGACGGATGTCCTGGGTGCGCGTCAATGCTGTGAGTGATAGGTACAAGATAGATGCAGCATCAGTCAGTGGGGAAGAGCTTCTGTACAGGCTGGCAGATCGGTTGTTTGGTGGGGATATAGATGTGGCAGCGCATAGAGTGCTCAAAGATTACAGAAGGGGGGCACTAGGGTTGTTTGCCTTGGAACGTCCCCCAAAACCAAAACCCCTTTGAGTAAAAGCGAACAATTAATTGATTTCAAAAAGTTGGGGTTAAAGAACAAAGGATGAAATCTAGAGCAGTCGAGTATTCTTCTTTGGGGTGCTCTTTGTGTTTGTATGCTCACGAAATGGATGCAGGGCCGCCGCCATGGAACGGCGTGCCTGCCTATGCTGCGATGCCCAATAGAGCCCTGTACCTTTTTGGGTGTTGTCACTGCTGTGCGTTCTTCACCCCCCCCGCCCTTTTTTCTTTCTTAAAAATTTGGACCATTTCTTGATTTATGCGTTTGAGACATCCACTAAACAAAAAATGGAGCGATACAGTGAAGATTGGCATGGCCCCTGCGCAAGGATGGCACGCATAAATCGGGTACTGCTGTGCCTTTCTTTGCGCGTGATGCAATTTTTTTGCAAAGTTTTAGGTGCTGTGTTTCATGGTGTGGCAGAGGGGTTTGTAGATGAATGGACTGCATACGCACTGTGATGCATGCCTGTATGAACCCTGAGATCACGAATGTGACGTGTAGGACTCGGGACGAGCAATGCAATCAACAAGTGAGACGAGCAATGCGAGTCCAGGAATCGAGGTGATGTAATGAAATGTAGCACAGTAGAAGAGTCGACAACATGAGCTGACTCATCTGACTCACTCAGACATCATCGCACATGTCGAATCAGCAAGGAGGGAGGGCGTACATGGAAGAAAGATCCCTCCTTGTACACACACATGGAGAGATGACCACGGATGATGGAGGTGGCGAGGAGATGAAGAGGAGGGGGGAGAAAGCGAGAGAATAACTCGAGGTCGGCTAAAAATAGTGCCCCTGACCAATGTCCAATAAATCACCTCTCCCAAAATGTTAAATCTGGTCCTGGGCACTCCAGGCCTGAAATAGTCACACTGCTTGAAATCTCTCTCTCTCTCTCTCTCTCTCTCTCTCTCTCTCTC